AAAGCCCTCTATCTACCATTTCTACCACTCTAATGTGAATAGTCCATATTGCACAGAAAACAACTAAAAGCCATGTGGCCTTTCCCTGACTATGCGTCTTCAGAGCATCAAGAAATTGGGCCCTTCCTAAACTGCATCCATGTCTGTCACTATGATGATGACTTAATCCAGAGTTCATTGTAATGGTACTTATCTGTAATGGTACTTAGAAAAATGTTAACCTCCAAGTAAAACTAAGAACAAGTAAACTCAGCTGCTTCAAGATCCATGAAAAAAGCTTCTTGCTATAAGCCAAATTCAGTCAAATTAACGTGCTACCTTCATGCCCCGCCTCAAAAAAACAAATCAGCTCCCATAAGCTCCAAAGGCAAAGAAATAAATGTGAGGGACATGTAATCTAACACAAGGCAAAGAAAAAGAAAGAGTTTTGTGGACCAATCTCCAGGCACAGGAGAGGTGTGCAGATCACAGGCCCATTCACAACCAAGAGGCTGTCAAAGCTGGGCTCAGATTAGAACCCCAGGTTCAGAAATTTGAGTGCTCTTGTTTATTTCTGTCACAATCATTTGGTCCAGGATGGGTAGGAGTGGGAGGTAAACCCCTCAAGCTGATCAGCCACGCTTCCTTATAGACTTACTCATGTCCTGTCCTTAGAATGTGCAACTGGTGTATGGACGCAGAGTCCTTCCTTCCTGACAGCATTTGGAGAGCTACAACACCTGGGAAGTCCTCAGCTGTGGCTCAACTGTGTTCTGGGGCATCAACTGGTGGAATGACAGGCTAACCGAACGTAGATAAACAGGACTTCCTCACGTTGGGAATGTGGACACCCACAGTAAGAAGGACGTGCACAGTCAGGAGTTACGGGACAAACTATTTGCAGGTTGCCTATCTCTGCAAATAGCTACTCCAGTTCACAGAAAACAAGCTGCTTTAAAAAGTTAGGAAACAAAAAGGCTAGATTCATATATAGAATCTAAGAGATGTTCCCATCTAAGGGGCAGAGGCAAGGCAGTCCAGAAGTTCAAGGATCAAACATCAATTTCTGTGTACAGAACACTGTTTCTTTTTACATTACAGCAAGTATTCTGTCTCCCAAATATCACTTGTATTAAGACTATGTAGTAATTTTACTAATAAAGTCCCTCATAACATTTCAAATAGGTTAATATGCTACCCTGTCCCACTATTAAGCTGGGTGTGGCGATACAGGCTGGCAGTCCTAGTACCTAGATGGTTGAGATTAAAGGCATTGATGGTTCGAGCCCAGCCTGGGAAGCTACATAGTGAGCTCCAGGCTAGCCTGGGCTACATGGTGAGGTTCTGTCTCAAACAATAAGGTATTACTGAATTTTACAAGACAAAAGAGGATTTCAGAACTGAGTCCACATTCTTAAGATGCTAGATGTGAAGAAAATTAAAGAAATACACTGTCTTCCTAATGCCAAGTGGTTCAGATCCTTTTGGGATAAAGGATTTCTATTACCTTTAGGGTTTAAAATTAAATGCCTCAAAAACTCTAAATATGCTCAGCACTCTCTGGCAGTTACCCAGGAACAAAATACTTCTGTTATCCTCATCTCACCAGGGAAGCTATTAGCCTAGGACTAGGCACAGCTATTTCTAAGCAAGGTCCAAGGAGTCTAATAGCTAGCATAGATTCAAAAGGACCAGTTTCAGCTTGTCAGAGCTACTCTGCCTTTGCTTCAATCTGCTTGACTGCTGGGAGCTGGAGAGGGGAAGTCATTAAAGAAAGTGGCAAGGAAGAGTTGGTGGTTAGGAAGCAGAACGTTAGAGCTGTGTTGTAATCATGTGCGTAAAAAGCTTAGGACACAGCAGACATCAGAAGCAGGAAACAGGCAAGGGAAGCGATGTAGTTCCTTTCCGCTAGGGATTCCCCTCTTGTGTTAAGCAGAAGGTCAAGTAGACAAACTCTTTTCAGTGTTAGTGACACCTAAGGATGTTGGAGATGTCAGGAATTACCCCGGTATGTGGAATGATAGGAGCATCCATACCATTCTTTATAAAAATCCACAGGAATGCCACTGTTTTGAGGAGACCATGGCATGTTTTCAGTTTAGTAGGGCTTCAGGTACCCTTTTTTAATACATACATGCTTAATGACAGAACTAAGCTACAACAGGTTATACAGTAGGAAATAATGTCTCTGTTTCAGAGACTGATCTATGGTTGGAAAAGCAGCATCAATGATGCCCTGAAAACACTGTACCTATTCTTGTAATTCAAAAGAGCTATATTTTTAACACCTCCAAGGCTCAGGGAACATGGCAGAGGAACAGAAAGAAGGTACGCTCTAGAGCACAGACAGGAGTGCTGTGAAATGCTGTCTGCTAAGCCTAACATGGCGCTTGTGCACACAAACTCACAACAGCTGGCCAAGACCTGAGCAAGATCAAGCCAGTCAAAATCCCAACATGGATGAGAGTGGCTCAGGAGTGCCCGACCCAGCTGAGGAGCTGCTGGCTGCAGACGGCTGCTGGGAGACACAGACAGAGTCATGTTCGCTGGGAGCATGACCATTGCTAGGCTGGCCATGTTCCACTGTTAAAGGTGGCCGTGCCCCACACTCATGTGCATATGATGTTAGTGACAGCACTAACCAGGTTCTCACCTTGTGGGTTGTGACCCTTGGAGGGTACTGAACAACCCTTCACACAGGTCACCTAAGACCACTGGAAAACACAGATATTTACATTACAATTCATAACAGTAGCAAAATTAGTTATAAAGTAGCAGTGAAAACACTTTATTGGTGGGGGAATGGTATTAGAGGGTTGCAACCTTATATAGGCTGAGAACCACCGAACTGAACTGAATTCAGTGGGCTATAAAAAAGAAGACATGAACTTAAAAGATGTGTTTGGGAAGGTCTGCAGGGATTGGAGTGAAGAGAGTAGGGGGATGTGGTCAAAATACACTGTGTACATACATATGTGAATTTCGCAAAGAATAGAAAGTTATATAAAAATAGCCGCATTCTTAGTATTTAATATCTCACAATAGCAGCTTAACATGTTATTATTTCAGTATAATTAAGATTCTTCAGTATAATTAAGATTTCACTTTTGCCAGGTGCTGGTGGTGCACACTTTTAATCCTAGTACTTGGGAACAGACAGGTGGGTCTTGGTGAGTTCAAGGCCAGCCTGGTCTACAGAGTGAATTACAGGACAGCTAGGGCTACACAGAGAAACTCTGTCTTAAGAAATACACACACAGAGAAACAGATTTCACTTATAAACTCATCAAACAGAGGCTCTCCTGCTTTATTTCTTTTAATTAAACAAGCTGGAGATACAAGCAATTTAGTCTCTACTGGGAACTGTCTTCTATTCATTACTGCATCATTTGCTTGCTCTAGCTACTTCTTCCAAGTAACTCTGGCCTCACTCAATTAAATATGTAAACAAGAGAAAAAAGAAAACTCTGTGGACTTACAATCATTACGATACCACTTCCTGATGCACAAATGGCCAATTACTTCCTGTCTGCTTCCATTTTAGTACATTTCCTTCCAAAGTCTTGACAGAGCAATGTCTGTTTATCATTCCTAAAATTCTAGATCACTTTAAGCAACTTTTCTTCATTTATTTAGAACACACAAAAATGCCCATTTCTAGTATTCTATAATACTTCCTAGCAGAATATAATTTTTCTTTCTTTCTTTGGGTTATTTGAGACAGGGTCTTTCAATATAGCCCAGGTTGGTCTAGAACTTGCCATGCAGGCAAGGCTGGCTGCACACTTGTGGTGACCCTCGCACCTGTTCCTCTAGGATCACAGGTGTGCACAAGAGCCTCCTTCAATTTTCTACTCATTATTAAGGTCCCTTCTCACTTGCAGCTTTTTATGCCATTTTGCTTTCTTCCTTAAGTCTGAAATTACATGAACCGGAGGTTACTTTTTGGCTATTATTTCTCAAAAAAAAACAGCACTGCTTTTAGGATATGTCTTTCCACTAAAAATAACCTGATCAAGAAGATTCCTTTCAGCTGTGCCCAATAGCTTCTCTCTCAGTTGATTACGTATCCAGTCAACTCAGACTGGACCATCACAGTTAGTATAATTGCTGTTTAAAGACAAGAACTACAGACTGTGTTATCAAGATAAATTTGGTCTAGCTGTCCATGAAAATGCATCTGTTGAGACAGAAGTAAGTTCAGTCCTTCTAGATCTGTTTAGCATAATAAACTAACTCCTGAAAAAGAACTAGGACTGTTATTCCAAGTTTTTCTATCCCTTCACTAAGTTACCTTGAAGAAAGATTTAGTCCTGAGACCTTATTACCCCACCTAGGAAATGTTGAGAAATTTAAAGCCTAAGTTATAATACTGTCTTTAAGTTTTTTTTCAATAAATATGATTTTTATATTATACACACACACACACACACACACACATACACACACACACACACACACACACATATGTTAAACCATAATGGTTAGTAACAATATTGTAGTCTGAGTTGAAACATTTTTTTCTAATTAGAGTAAAACACAAAAATAAACTTCACTCTGCTCTTTAAAAAACAAACAAACAAAGCATTGCTGTTCAAGACTAAACAACACTGAATCTAAGTCCTAAGATAAACACCTACCTGTTGGTTCAGGGGGAGAAAAAAAAAAAATCTTAGGAATTAAAGAAAAAAAAATCTTTCTTTTGACTAATTCTAATTTTAAAAAGGTGTGTGTTTGTGTCTTCTGCCCCAGAATGCTAATGGCCTGAGTGAATTCTTTACCACACCAACATACACGTATACAGACAGTTGGTTCCGTCCCCTGGCTGTAAACACAGCCAGAATTATTGTTCAAGTCTGTTGATATAACCTTTTTATCACTAGGACCATAGCTGGTTGTCACATATCTGCTGAGAAAAGCCACAACTTTCTGGCAAAGTGTAGCCCATTGGCCTGATTAGGGCACACAAACCCCACAGCCCCAAATGCTACTCCGTCTTGTGCCTGTCAGAGCAGACATACCTCTTCATAATTTTTCGCCTCCACTCCATGCTTCATGTCTAGAATCACGAGTTGGTCAGGTATCCGCCCTGTTCCTGAAAAAGAAATCAAAAGATTCATTGTGCAGAATACTTAAAATTCCGGGAAATCACCACCCACCCTCCCTCTCCCTAACCCCTATCTGCTCAATAGAAGGAAACAGTCATAACTCCTCCCCGCTGTTCTGCAGCAGCAAAGTCCTGGCTAAAATCACCAGTACTGCAGACAAAGCCTCCATCTGTGCAGCCGCTGGAAAGCAAGCAGAGCATGCTGCTGGCAAACGTCTCTGAGCAGGACACAAGAGACTGTGGCTGGTACTGAGGGCAGATCTGGAAAAAGAAAACTCACAGCCTTGCTGGACTGAGAGACATGGAAATCACAACAGTGTGAACTGAGTGGCACGGAGATCAACAAGGAGTGGGCACCATTTCTACACCTCAAAAACAATGCTCTAGCAAACTGAGAGACAGTTGAGGTTTCTTAGGATTACTTGAGTATACTAAGTTTAGATTACTTAAAACAAACTTCAGCACTGAGAATGTAGGTCTTAACTAATATTCTACTTTGATTCAAACATTTTGGTCAAGGTAAAGTCTATCTTAATATGTGAATAAAAAGTTATAGGGATATTCCTATTAAGCATTTGAGAGAAAGCGCAAAAATGGAGGAACAAAAGCCAAATTTTGTCTTGACTATAACTATCGGGGATAGTTCTTAGAAGGAAATGTCTATCTGGGATAAAATGCCCAAGCAATGCAGTAATTATAGTAGAAAAGTAATCTGATTTGCTGATCTGAATTAAGACACTAAGCAGGAAAAAAAAAAATACTCAAAAATCCCCAGAAAACTGTTGACAATTTCCTGGGGTTTACTATTTATAGAATGAAAAACTGCCTGCATGAAATTAGAAGTCTTAGGCAAACCTAGCACTGTTCAAGTGTGTTCAGGTGCGCCTTCTTGATGCCATGAGCCATAGGGAACTTGTTACTGTACCCGCTGCTGCCTGAGAGACAGCAGAGGTTTTCTGAAGTTGACTGAAGTCAACTCAGACAGTATGATGGACTAGAGCCTCACCAGTGAGACTTTACAAAGGTATAATCTGCCTTCAAGTGACAGAGCAGACAGACACAGCACGCACCAGCTGTGGTTAAAACGTGAAACACTGTAAAAGTTTAAATCCAAATCCCCAGCTCAGATAATCCCAGCTGTGGAACACAGGTTACAGAAGAAGCGAGCTCTGGGCTGACGCTGATAAGCTGTTAGCAAACATCTGAGGTCGAGACTGGAGCCAAACATTCTAGACAAAAGACGAAGCATGGGGACAGGGTCAGATATGAACTAAGCATGGCCTTATTTTTTTTTTAATATTTGTATTTATGTGTCTATGTGTATGTGGAATCCAGATGAGGGTGTCAGATCCTCTGGAGCTGGAGTGACAAGTGGGTCTGAGCAGCCCAATTCAGATGCTAGAAAAGTTTCTCTGACAGTAGCAAACATTTTTAACCAATAAGCCATCTCTGTAGCCCCTCCCTGCTTTTAACACAGGGTTTCATGGAGCCCAGGCTAGCCTAGAACTCAGTTCATAGCTACTAACCCTGACTGTGACCTCCTGATTCCCCTTCTTTCACTTCACAAGTGTTGGGATTACAGGTATGAGTCAGATGTGCATGGCTGAATATGTTTAAAAAGACACTACAGAACAACTTTTGGAGAGACTAGAACTTGCAAGCAAAAAGAGAAGACAGTATAGGCGAGATGCTGTGCAAACAGGAAAGCCTAAGCTCAAATCACCAGAACCACATAAAACCCAGTCACGGTGGTACATATCTCCCATGGGCATAAAGGCCAAGTCAAGAGAGCCCTTAGGTGCCCTCAGGTCCTGGCATACTCTGCAACAAACAAGGTGGAAGCAAGGACAAAGACCTGCAGTGGGTTGTCCTCTGATCATGTATCTGTTGTGGCATGCAGGTCTCTGAACTCACATATGCAAATTCTCAGTGCACACACAGACACACAGACACACAGGCACACACACATACACATCCATATACCTGTGCAAAATTTTTATACACACAGAGAACCAAAACCAAACAAACAACACCCCCAAAACCATCCAAAACTCAAAATCCCACAAACTCAAAACAAACTAAGACCACCACAGATGCTTTCTGAATATTTAAACCAAGTTTACAATCAAGGTAGCCACAGCAGCCTCTGCCCAAATCCCGTGTGTACTCCTGAGAGTGACATTATCCATAAATACGATACAAATCTTTGCTTTTCTTCCTCATTTAGAAGGTTAAGAGGCAGGCAAGAATGAAGGGTCATAGTTAAGAGTACTCAATGCTCTTGCACAGGACCTGGAACCTTAGTTTCAAGTACCACATGACATCTCACCATCACCCTTAACTCCAAATCCCGAGGATCCTATGACCTCTTCTGACCTCCTTAGGCAACAGGCATGCGTGCAGCGCACATACACACATAAAAACTCTAAAAACAAACAAACAAATAAACAAAGACCCAAGGAGGTGAGGTCCTGGTTAGTGTTTGGGAAGAGAAACCTCAACTGAGAAAGTGCCTTCATCAGATCGCCTGTAGGTAGGTCTTGGGGCATTTTCTCAATTAATGAAGGATGTGGGAGAGCACACCAGGGTGCTGCCACCCCTGGGCAGGTGGTCCTGAGTGCTATAAAGAAGCAGGCCGAACAAGCCATGGACAGCAAGCCAGAAAGCATCATTCCTGTGTGGTTTCTGCATCAGTTCCCGCCCTGGCTTCCCTTTTTGATGGACTGTAAACTGTAAATGAAAGAAACCCTTTCCTCTTCAAGGTGGTTTTGGCTAGTATTTCATCACAGCAGTAGAAAGCCAACCAAGTGAGGTTAGAGCTCAGCGGTAAAGAAATTACCATTCATGCCCAAAGCCCTGGGTTCCATCCCTAACATTGAAGGTAGGCAGTGCAGGAATGGTGGCACACACTTATCATGCCAGCACTCAGGAGGCTAAGGCAAAAGGATCACTGGTTCAAGACCAGCCTAGGCCACATAGTGATATAAACTTAAATAACTATAGTCTTGCTTGATCTAAGTGATTGGATTTCTGTGTGTCAGAGCACCACCCCAAAAATGAAAGGCACACAATCTTCACTGTGGCAAAACAAACAAACAAACAAACAAACAAACAAACAATAAAACCCCACCTTTTCTCTCCTATTTTTGTTTTGTCTTTAAATTTAATTTTCTTTTTTTTTTTTTGCTGGATGTGATGGCACATGCCTGTAATCCCAGCACTCTAGGAGGCAGAGACAGGCAGAACTCTGTGAGTTTGAAGCCAGCCTGGTCTACAAAGTGAGTCCAGAACAGCCAGGGCTACACAGAAAAACCCTGTCTCGAAAAACCAAAAATAAAATAAAATTAATTAATTAAATATTTTTGAAGATGCTCTCACACTGTAGCCCAGGATGACCTCAAACTCAACAGTAATCCTGTGGCCTCAGTTTCCTGAGTGCTGGGACTGTAGGTGCAAGTTACTATGCCTGGTTCTTGAGCATTCTGTCTACCAAAGTTTTCCCTTTCTGTGTGTCACAGCATAAAGCATTAGCACTTTCCAAGGCCAAGTAAAACCCCCAAACCACGAGCCTCTGGCTGACCTGAGTATAAACTATACAATTTCTTGTGCAGAATAGTTATCCTATTTCCTTGGCTGATATGAAAAAAGGCTTAAAGGATCTTTAATGTTTGTAAAACAAATAAACAAAACCTTCTGAGTAATACCTCTCTCTGCATCTGCCTGTCAAACGGATAATCAATTTTCTGTTTTCCGAGATTTTATTACAGCAAACTCGGGAAAGCAGTTCCTTTACTGCTCCAGGCCTGGGCTCTTACACTACACAGGCACAGCCTCCCCATTACCAGTATCTGCTATGGGCATGGTCTGTGGATGCTGAACCTATACTGACACATTATCATCCATAGCACATGTGATAGTGGAATCAATGGACCATGATATTTATATCACTATAGTACCAGACAGGAGGTTCCACAGTCCTAGAAACCCTCTGTGCTATACTTCATCAACCCTTTATTCCACCCAGACAATCTTTTAGAAGATTCATCAAAGGCTATAAAGCGTTGGGTCTCTGCCTCAGAACAAACAAGGACCAAATGAAAGTAGAAATCGAATGCTACTGCAGCAGGTAGCTCTGCAGAGCTGAAGAAGAGGATTTGTGACTACTTACCCTTGCTTTCAAAGCACACTTCAAACATGTCATAGTCTTCCGTGGTGAAGGCAAACTTCCCCTTAGTTGCATCCTCCTTGGCATACAGAATATGGCCAGCAGAGTCTGTGATCTAAAGATGCAATAAAGAACAGTTATTTAATAATGAACTTGAAAGAAGGGCAATTATGGAAACTGGGGAGACAGAGTTACAAGATAAAAGATAGCCAGGGGTTTGGGCATTGTTGAGCTGAAAAGGACTTACACAAAGCTCTGGGCTTGATCCCCAGCACCATATAAAAACGGTGTATTTGGGCAATGCACACCAGTAACCTCAATACTGTCCAAGTGGATGAAAAAGGATCTGAAAAGTTCAAGCTATCCTTAACTACACAGAGAACTCAAGACCAGTCAAGTCTATATGAAACCTTGACTCAAAAAACAAAACAAACTAAAAAGACAAAGAGGGGCTGGAGAGAGGGCATGTACTGCTCTTTGAGCACATGAGTGGAGTTTCCCCGTACTCACGGTCCAGTGGCTAACAACCGTCTGTAACTCCAGCTCCAGGGATCTGCTGCCTCTAGCCTTCTAGGGCACTTGCACTCATGTGCACACACCGCACAGACACACATCTACACATAACTAAAATTATAGCACTTATTTATTTATCTTTTTTAGTTTTTTTCAAGACGGGGCTTCTCTGTGTAGTCTTGGACTTGCTTTGTAGACCAGGGTGTCCTCGAACTCACAGTGATCCACAGTGATCTGTTTGTATGTATGTATGGGCACATGTGGAAGGCATAAGACTTAGTTTTTCCTTCCCCACGTGGTTCCCCGAGATCTAACCTGGATTGGAGCCATCTCATGAGCCATCTCACTGTCCCTAAAATCTGTTGACAGTATAGGACCCATATAACAGACCCAGACAATGTTCCAGGTACACAGTCTCCTGGCAAAAACTTCACATTACAGAATGTAATCTTACTTATTCCCTAAAGAGAGACCTGTCTCTCTCTCTCTGTCTCTCTCTGTCTCTCTCTCTCTCTCACACACACACACACACACACAAACAGGAAAAGAAAGGTACAAAAAGCACATTTGTTATATAAAGCAGCAAATCTTGAGAGGGCAAGATTGAAAGGGTCAGAGCAGGCTTAGGACACTTGACTATACAAAAGGAAAAGCCATGTGTATATATGATCTGTTCCTGCAAACATGCTAAGTATGCAATGGTGGCTGAAGAGAAGGCTCAGAGTTTATGAGCACATACTGTTCTTTTTTTTTTTTTTTACCTTTTTAAATTTTTATTTTTTTAATTTTTTATTAATTACACTTTATTCATTTTGTATCCCCCCATAAGCCCCTCCCTCCTCCCCTTCCTATCCCACCCTCCCTCCCCTTTCTGCATGCATGCCCCTCCCCAAGTCCACTGATAGGGGAGGTTCTCCTCTTCTTTCTGATCTTAGTCTATCAGTTCTCATCAAAAGTGGCTGCATGGTCCTCTTCTGTGGCCTGGTAAGGAGGCCGCTCCCCCCTCAGGGGGAGGTGATCAAAGAGCAGGCCAATCAGATTATGTCAGAGGCAGTCCCTCTTCCCATTACTATGTAACCACTTGGACACTGAACTGCCATGAGCTACATCTGTGCAGGGGTTCTAGGTTATCTCCATGAATAGTCCTTGGTTGGAGTACGAGTCTCTGGGAAGTTCCCTGTGTTCAAATTTTCTTGTTCTGTTGCTCTCCTTGTGGAGTTCTTACAGAGGCCTTAAGTTAGGTTTCCAGTACTCAGTCAGATAGCTCCCAACTATCTGAAAACACACACACACACAATACAAATAAAAAAATTAATCTTAGACTTGGAAGATAAGCCAAACTTTCTCCACAATAAGTAGTGGCTTCCTTATATTAAACTTGATATGCTAATGTCATTTGTTAAAATAAAATTCTTAGCCAGGTGTGGTGGCACAGGCCTGTAATCCCAGCACACAGGGAGGTAGAGGCAGGCAGATCACTGTAAGTTTGAGGCCAGCCTGGTTTACAAAGCAAGTCCGCAAGTCCAGGATAGCCAAGGCTACACAGAAAAACCAAGGTCTCAAAAAAAAAAAAAAAAAAAAGAAAAGAAAAAAAGAAAAGAAAAGAAAGAAAGAAAGAAAGATAGAAAAAGAGAAGAAACATTTTACATGTTAAGCACATAAAAATATTGATAGATTGTTTTTTGATCCATCATTCATGGAGGTAAAAGCACTTTTTCTTTTGTTTGGTTGTCATTTGAGACAGCGATCTTGGCTGTCCAGGAACTCACAGGCATGTACTACTGTGTACAAGCATGAACTGCTGGCTAAGTAGAAGTACATTTTACTTAGAGTAGTTAATTTTGAATTAACTCTTTACACACAGTCTCTCACACACAGTTTTTGTTTGTTTGTTTACATCTACAAATTTATTTTGATAAGGGGCAGGGTCCATACATACATGTGGAAGTCAGAGAGGGCAATGTATGAAGGTTGGTTTTCTACTACAGGAATTCTGGGAAGCAAACTCAAAACAGCCTTTTAAAAAATGGTTCTTCTATTTTCTTAATTTTCTACAAAGGCATATGCTACTTAGTATTAAAAATAATAAAGTTATTTTATTTTGGAAAAATGATTAACTAAAGAAAGTTAACTTATTAGACAAAACTGAAATGATGTATTACTAAAACTCCCAAATTCCCCAATAACACCAGTTAATATCAGTTCAGTGTCTCTGTTTTTCACATCATTCATTAATATGTGAAACATTTAAGATACTGAGATCTAAGCCAAGTGGTAATGGCGCACGCTTTTAATCCTAGCGCTCTAGAGGCAGAGGCAGGCAGATGTCTGTAAGTTTAAGGCCAGCCTGGTCTACAGAGTGAGTTCAGGGACAGCCAGGGCTACACAGAGAAACTGTGTACAAAACAAAACAAAATAAACAAAAATCTATGGTTACTGGTAAATGAGGGAAAGGGTTAGAAATAAGAAAGCTTCACCGTTCGTTCATTCGTTATCATTTTGCATTTCCTTGATGATTAATGATGGTGGACATCGTTTTGTGTATCTATTGGCTTTTGGTATGAAGTGATGACATATGCTAATGAACTGGGTATATCAAAGCATCAACACTGTATATACAACTTCCATTGTATCAATTATACCAAAATGAAGCTGCAAATAAAATGAAACAGAAAGAGGACAGATGGAATGTAATGCAAAGAACCACTGTTGCAGGTGCACAGGATTATGGCACACCAAGGTGACTTTGGGAGGATAAACATTGACCAAGGGAAGAAGAGAGGTAAAGAGACTCAGGGCAGCTGACAGTCCTCTCAAATGCTATATAGGACTGTTCATCTGCATTTACATCTTTGAGAAATTAGCAGACAGGTACGTGGGTAAAACAATCTTGGCAAAGGAGCATTTAGCCCTGAAGATTTGTTCAAGTCTCTGTTCATGGGATACTTTTCCTGAATTACCAGCTAAGGAGAAAAGCAAGAAAGCAAGCACACAAACTACTTGATAACTCTGACTATATCCATATTGTAAAGCAAAAAGGTTTAAAAACTAGTCAAATCCCAAACTCAGGTAGCTGGTGTGGTACTACACCTCCTTTCTTCAGAATCAGCTCAGCCACTACGCATTTTCCTACAGCCAGCCTCCCAAAAGCACACTGACAACTCTTAAGGACTGTTCAAAAGGGCAGACTGCAGAGATGGCTCAGTGGTTTAGAGCACTTGTTGCTTTTGCAGGGGACCTGGGTTTGACTCCCAGCACCCACATGTAAGCTCACAACTACCCATAACTCTACGTCCTTGGGCACCAGGCACACATGCACTATGGCATACATGCATGCAGAGAAAATAGTCATACATATAAAATAAGATAAATATGAAAAATTTCAAAAGGCAGACTATAGGAACAAAGCTGATGTGAAAACACCAATTTAGGTGAGTCTCTTATGAATGAGGTCTCACACAACACAGAACTTTTCTAAGGTGAATCTGGGTAAGAGATTTCATTTTTGTTGATGCCACTAGTTTAAATCTAAAGGGAGAAGGATGCTAAGATGTGTTTCATCCTATGACAACCAGGAGAGGACAGCAGGGAATATGTGTTACGCGTACAGCAGTGAACACTCAGGTTCCATCGTCTCCATGCTCAGGCAAGGACGGAGAGCAGGTCTCTGGCTAGACAAACACCTCACTTTAACAGCATTTACAGTATCTGGCACAATCGCCCACCCACCTTATTTTCTGCAAGAGATTATGATCATCTTACTTTCTCCTAGAATATTAAAAGTGTCCTTCAATGATTTTTTTTTAATTTAATGAAAGGAGCCTTTCCAGATTGTAAAAGGACTTAAATGTAGGTCATAAATCTCTTACTAAAGCACAGTAGCAATGTTGCACGGAGTGATTTGGGACATGAATTAAGACCTAGTTATGTTCCTCTGAAGGACTCTACAATTCACACCTCCAAATGGTACTTAAAGGAATGGACACTGTGTAAAGGCCCCCTCCACACTGTGCTGAGAAACAACGATCATGCAAGCATCAGCTGCTCTGCTCCACCACATCTGAAAAACCATTAGAGGTTAAGGTCACTCTAGGGCAAAGGCTCAACTGCATTACTACAGGCTGAACGAAGGACCCACGCGTGTGCCTAGAGGTCAGAAGATGTTTGCATTACACCCTCTGAAGCTGGATTACAGACAGTTGTGAGGTACTGTGACGCTAAAGGGACTGAACCAGGTCCTCTGCAAAAGAAATGAAGGCTTTTACTGCTGAGCCATCTCTTCAGCCAATTGTAGAGTCACAGCTCACAGAAACCACGAGAATTGTTAAACACGCAGGTTTTTTTCTCCAAAGAGAGGAACGACACCTGTTCACCTGGAGTGGACGCTGCCTAACAACCCGGTATCTTTTGCTGCTTATAGGACCAGCCTTCACCGGAACCCCCCAAATCCTGAGCAAGCCTCTGGATCAACAGAACCCACCTTCACACTTGTTACAAGCCCTTCTTCCCTAGGCCCTAGTCCTGAACACTGTTCATCAGTCATCTCTCGTTCTTATGGCTGAGGTTACAGGTGCTTGGCTAAAGAGGTGTAGCTATGCCTGA